TGTATATAATAATTCTTAAAGTTGAGAGAGGAAGACAGACCAAGCGTATTACGCTAGGATATCTTTACAGATCTATGGTTCACTGATTTTGTAAATCTTAAGAAGAGGTTTTTCAGGTAATTGCTAGTGTTTTTTGCTATTGTTATGTACAATCCATTTTCTCCCTCTATTCCTATTCTTATGCAAGATTCTTGGTTTGCCCTAATTTCCTAATGTGATCTAGCTAGGGAAATGCCATTTTCAGTCCTAGTTAATCAGCAGTCTCATATAATTGCCATGCAGAATAGAGTGGTGCATGTATGGAAGACAGTGCTGCTCAGACCATTACACCAGACCCTCATCATGGACCATGTGTCCTCCACTAAGCCCTCACTTCAAGTTCCTTTGATTCCTCTACTAGACCAAGATTACACATAAAAATGAAAGAAAACAAAACCCATAAAGATACAAACTGATTATTACTAGCCAGGCTCACCTTCTTCCTCTCCTGATATCGTTCTGCTGACATGTGGTAGGCCTTCCACACTGCAAACAATTATCACTTGGAATATAATCCTGGACTGAGGTCATCACTGTTGAATCTAAGGACATCTTATTTCAGGAAGCATCATTCTAATGCAAGACTGAGCAATTCATTTTCTCAAGGAACCACATGAGAAACTGGGACTGTTGTGGAGGGCTGAACCAGTAGGGCTGTGAAGGTGCATAGGCACATACGCATGCACATACGTAAATTGAAAAAAAAATAGCAGTCATCTTCAAAATAAAAGTAATCCACATGAGACAGTCAGGGACAGCCAAAAGATCAGCGGTGGCTGGGGGGGGGGCTGTAAAATGCCCAGGTCTATTCTAATGCATTTTTTTTTGGATAATTTCTAGTCCATAATGCCCAGCTTTTTTTTCTTTCTCAAATATTATTGGGCTGCTAATATGTGTTTTCTGTTCATCCTACAGAACATAGTCAACTGCAATGCTATCAGCCAACTGCCTGACATTGTCTTCACCATCAATGGCATTGAATACCCTGTGCCTGCCAGTGCCTACATTCGCCAGGTAAGATCTGTGATTTATCCAAAAATTATCTCAAATGATTTAGTTCATACAATAAACCTCTAAAGGAAAAAAAATCTGACCCATAAAAGAATTATAGCAAGACAATCTCAGTCAGTTATATTCAAGTGGGAGACATCTTCTAACATTTGAAGTGTTTTTGATAACTTTTAGCAACTATTTTCATTATGCATTAAGAATTAAACTCTGCAACTCTGAACATGAAATTCAACACATTTAGTGATAAGATTATTCTCATATAGATCATACTCATTTTTAGTAGATCTCTTTTCTCTATAGTAGACCATCCCCAATATGTTAAGACTTCAATTCCAGTGTCGGGCTATCTGGGGGATTATCAGAATAGAAATCCAACACATTTAAAGAGAACCAGGTTGAGGAAAGCTGTAGGAGATTATTTTAAAGAAAGAGTATTGTATCAGCTTATCATTTGGGACTCAAGAATAACCAAATATTGCAATATAAACCTAATGTTCATAGTATGGAAGATATACGTAAAGTGATTCTTTCCTTACGGCATTATTATTTCATTACGCCACAGTCCATGTACAAATGTTCAAGGAAAGCACGGTTAAATGAAAAAAAAACAAGTATGATTCACTGTTACATATTATTCATGGGGCTCTTTAGAAAGTTTCATACAGAGTCTGAACATGATTCTCAGCATCCCTGACTTTCCCTTGCATATAACTATGATACAATCATATTCTAGCAATGATTACTTTCTCCATGGCATTGCCTTCACTTTCTCTCCAACCCATGTTTTAGTCAGTGTTAGCTATACTAGGATGAACATAGCATTTTTCCTTACTCCAACATAACTCAACAGCAGGCTTAAGGTACGCAAAGCTGTAAGGGTTTGTCACCCATCACCTCGGAGGGAAATCAGATGACTCCAAATTTAAATAAGGTAGACAATGGAGACAACCTATTCAATGCAAATATGGTTTTCTGTTACTCCAGCATGGATAAGGAACAACTCAACAGGAGTGGGAGGGAATGTCAGCTTCCAAATGCTTTGTAATGGCTCTCTATTTAGGCCATTCAAATTCATCATACTGTATATTTGAACTTTTCTTTCAGTCCCAAGGTTATTGCCAGAGTGGCTTCCAGGATATACCCTTCCAAACTGATTTTTGGATCCTTGGTGATATCTTCATTCGTCAGTACTATTGTGTCTTTGACCGAGCAAACAACCAGATTGGCCTGGCTCCTATAGCAAAGTAATAGCAACAGCTTATTGGTCATATTTTAGCCTAAGGATAGTCTTGACTGTTTGGAATTAAATTTGGCAATTATGCTCCTGATCCCCATGCTTTAATGTCAGCAACAATAAATAAATATAAAAATAAATGACTTTATATTCACTGCACACTAAATGCACGTCAACTAACAAAGTGAAGTTAATCCATTCCAAATGAAATTTCCCAAGTGAATATGTCCAACCAAGGGGAACCCACCAACGTTGTGGATAATGGATATCACTGTCAAACAACTCTTAATTTTGGGAAGTTTTTTCCAGCATTCAACAAACATTTAACTTTCCTGCAATTAGTTATGAAATCAATAAATATACTTTCTAAAGCTTATATTCTTCTATATAGAAAAGAAAACTTTTAAAAATGAATTATATCAAACTATAAACTATACAAAAAATCCAGTTTGAGAATATTCGGATTAAATTTATTTGCCATAATTTTTATTATAATATACATTTTAGTTTTTAAAACCAACCATTTTGTTTAAATGGAAATGTTCACAGCACAGTAATACGAATTTTTTATATCAATATATGAAAAACACAGTGTAGGCATTTATTTTGACATGGCAACATACCAAGGTAAATTCACATAGAAATGTCCTTTAATTCCTGCCCAAATGAATACATGCATGTGTGTAGTGGCAATCTCAAAGGGGCTTTATCATATCTATCAATAAAACTTTGCATGCAGATGAGTCACATTGTCCAAGAGATGGCATCGAGTGATGTGCCCTAATCTGCCCTAATTTAGGAAATTGAGGGGGGGGAGGAAGAGTGGCAAGAGAAAAGGATGTAGCTGCCTTGATAACCAGACAATGTCACTTTAAGCCATAATCCATTGTTAGACCAAGGCATAGAGATATGAGGCTTAACAGGTTTTTATTCCCCCTTCCACAAATGTGGTTCCATGAAAGAAAATTGGAATCTGGACCAGTGAATTTTTAATCTCCTCATGTTTTTCAACTTTAACCCAGCATAAAATCATTACATGCACTATGAGGTAGGGTGGTTTTGATAGATCGTAAACTGAATCAGTTTGAGAACCTTAGCAAAGTCAGTCAGAATGTCTGTGGCATAATGTATCAAACACTTCAGACTCCTACAGTTAATACGTGGATTTGCCTGTCCAGCTACTACTGTTTTGCACTTTCTGGATTTTCACCTGCAAAAATTGCAGAGGAGAAGGCCCTTTCTGAGTAATGATTAAGGCTTAGAAGCCAGCAAAGCTAGAGTTGAAGATAGATGGCCTCTACCTGCCTCAAGGAAGTTCAGCCAGCCAGCCAAGGAAGAACTGTGGATATATTTCTAATCACTTTTCAAATTGCCACTGGGTGTGTCCAAAGTTATATTTCCTGTGGCTGTGCTGCCCTTTGGATTCAAAGGCAAAAGGGTGCTCTAGAACAAATGCATCTTTTCCCAATAACACACTGTTACAGCTGCAAAGGACAGTCACGTGATACAGGGAAAAGATGCAGTTGCTTTATGGAGACACAGCACCATTGTGGCTTTGAAACTGAAGCACTGCACTGCTCTAGTACAGTACATCATCCTGCACATTTACATCAGACCCAAGGCTACTGAGGAACAATGATGCTAGTTATTAAATTTTAGGAAGCACGTAAGTTACATAAATGATTATCCAATGAAGACTTACTGGACATTTCACAAAATTAGAATTCCCAGAGACTGAAATGGAGGAAAACAACAGCAGTCTTTCTAGTTTCAATTATCAAAAGTTGATATGCCCTTACAAAACACCCCTTTGAGGTAGTTGACAAAATTCAGTCATGCTGCCTATTTTATGAATGGGCTGCACATGATTTTCAAAGCCTTTTGAAAACTGAATATTCCTTGAAGACTTTAGTGGCTGGCAAATTTCACCCAAGAAATGTTAAACAAAATTCTCATAAGCTTAGCTTGGAAATGTACTTTTAACTATGACATAGAAAAATACATTTACCTTTAGGTATGATGCTATGATTTTAGTGTTCATAAAATATATTTCATATTATAATCTGAATTGCAGAATTCTATATACACCAGAACAAGGAAGTGGAAATTTTCCACTATTAAAATAATGTTGTACATACCAGTATGCAGCGCAGTGTTGTACATACCAGTATGCAGTACATTGTCTGTAAAACAATGTTTAGTTCATTTCTGACTTCATGGAAAGCTAACCACATTTCTTCAATATGTATAATCAGTCCTGAAATGTCCATATAAGACAGTAAGCAGCAACAGAATGTCTATATTAGACAAAGTGTGAGAAAATTTATTATGTGACTTCTGGCACAAATTGTTGCTTCCCTTGCTGGCATTAGGCCAGCCACACAACATGCAAAACAGGAGGTTGAATTAGCCTATGATTCTACTACTTGTCATGCTTCCATTCTGAAATCTTTATGCTTTACTGGAATGTTTATACAGATTTTGCAAATAAAAGCCATTTTTCTATTGTCTTCTAAATCCAATGAGGTATTAGTTAAGTAAGAACTTCAATGCAATCAAGAACTGAAGTGAGGACCTGCTTTCTAAGAAGCCAGAAAGTGATTATTGCCATGAATACGTAGTGGGAAATCTAGCAAACAGCAACCATATAGGCAGATGCTCTTGTTTTTATGAGATTAAAGTGGTTATGTTCCTCTTATTCAAAATAATCTCCAATCTATGGAGATATATCAGTGAGGCTATTCTCATCACTAGAGGTTAATTTAGAGTTGTTCCCTACATTTAGCTGGCGCAAAGAAAAATGTGTTCTGTGGGTTGGGCTACTAGGAAGCTCTTGAAAAGAATCTAGATTAGAACTGGCTGAAGAAGAAAATGTTTCAGCCAGAGGTTGCAAAAGAAGGTTATGAATGTTTGAACGCTGAAATAAGGCCGTTATAGATTTTTTGAGATTAGCTGGAGTGGATGGAACAGAGATATGAGCAGCAGGGGGAGACACAGTGGTTCTGCTTGTTCTTAAATAAAGAGAAGACAGGCTGGAATGAGTCATGGAGGACCCAGCTGATTTGCTAGGAGGATCCCCAAAGCTCTCTGGATTATTTAGAAATGGTACAATGGACTCCGGTTTTATTTGAGGAATTGCTGAGTGGCCTAGCCAAGAAGGAGGGATGATACTTGGTGGTTCATTGACATGCAACCTAGTGGTCTCTCCTGGTCTGTTTTGGTGGAATCCAACATTCCCTAGTGCAATTGGGTTCGTAAGCACAGTCTTCTGATCATTTGTATTACTTGCTTCAAGATGATCTTCTGGAGTAAGTGAGGCAATGTTAGGGGTAGAGCTATCAGACACCAGGGCTATGGGACCTCTTTGAAGATTTTGCAAAGGTGTCTCTGCTGCTCCATCTTCCAAGACAGGACTGGCTAGTCTATTCTCCAGGGAAGCCAAATCATCTGATGTGAAAAAAGCAAACTAGATTGAATATTCATTGCTCTGAAGCACTGTGACAAATGTATTACTTGGATTCTAGGCTGTACAAATCTCAATCCATAGTGAATTTAGCTGTGCATGAGCATACACAAACATGTGCAAACACTTCCCCTTCCTGCTGGATCACAAAAGTAGATGTAATCACTCATGAACAAAGGATTATTTCATACAGCTTGAACAGAGCATAATTGGGGAACCTAGAAAGTACGTTGTAACATGTTCTGCAGCTTTGAATATGTTAAGAAACCTCATTACAGAACATCAGAATAGAAAAGTGCTTGCACACCAGTGACTGTCAGAAGATGGAAGGCAGACTTTTTTAGAATTTGTTCGTCAGATTTCCCCAAAGAGTCTCAAATACCCTATAATCACAAATATAATACCTCCTCTGTTCTGACCTCCACTGCCATCCCAGACAATTTAACTTTGCACAGCAGACTTAATGCAGCTTCTGTAAACTGCATAGGATATTTATATATTTCCTTAAAAGAAGTAATATAATATCACATATTTTTTTGCTGTGCTCCAAATTGTTGCATCCTTGTTGTAGACCTGAGAGGATGGAACAAAGAGCAATAGATTCCTTAGACCAGGGATAGGCAACCTTGGCTCTTTTATGACTCGTGGACTTCAACTCCCAGAATTCCTGAGCCAAGCTGGCTCAGGAATTCTGGGAGTTGAAGTCCACGAGTCATAAAAGAGCCAAGGTTGCCTACCCCTGCCTTAGACAGATGTGACAAAAAAAAAATACTTACCCATAACTTCATTATTTTGGCAGTCTGGGCAGCAATGAGTTATAGGACCAAAGTGCTCTGTACAAGTCTTTGGACAAGTCTTCTTCTCACAGCTCACCTCCCCAAGCTGAAGGGAGAGAAAATAAAAGAGGTGTTCAAACCCAGCGCGAAATCACTGATTGTAGCAGGTGAATCCATTGCCTTTAGATGTCCTTCTCTCCTAGGAATGTTCTATTTTACTAGGATTACTGTACTATACTATACTATACTATACTATACTATACTATACTATACTATACTATACTATACTATACTATACTATACTATACTATACTATACTATACTATACTATACCATACCATACCATACCATACCATACCATACCATACCATACCATACCATACCATACTATACTATACTAGTATTGCATGGCATAGTTGGAAGCTACACAAAAATATGTAAGGGAAGAATTAAATTTAGAGCTTGAATACAGTATGTTCTCTTTGTTGTAAATGGCTGTGAAACCTGGATCCTCAACAAGGCTGAAGAAATTATGCTCTTGAGATATCATGCTGGAGAAAATTGATGAGAATATAATGGATTGTAATACTGGGAGAAGCAATACCAAACTGATCACTGGAAGCACTAATAATGAAGCTCTTGTGTATTGTGGGAAGAGTTACAATTATATTGCTTGAATACAGGGCCTCTGTTGTTTTTAGGCCAGGAGGAGTTATGGCTGTTGCTTAGTGGGATTTCAACTGCTACTGATCAGATTTCTTTTGCTTCTTTTCTTTTGGCCTATACTATACTATATTTATCTACTATAGATTAATTAAGTTATTTGGTGTGTTTACTATGAATAAATGTTTGTTTAGAGACTCTGCAGTTTCTGCTGCCTACCCTACAGACTATTCAACAGAAATTAAAGCAATTATATTGGATACATAATGGAAAAGCAAAAGTTATGAGAGAAGACACACACACACACACACACACACACACAAACAGATGGAAAAATCCAGACGCAATCAAGAAAGAGGCTGACAGGAGTCAAGGTAACTGGTGGCACAAGCAAGAGTTTATAAGGACTCAAAGAAGAAACGGTTGACCTATAATACTGTCAGTGGAGTCATCAACCACATCTCAGCTGAGGCCTATTTAAGATTTCAAAAGAAACAACAAGAAAGAGTGTAAAGAAATGGAGGGCATTAGAACAGAGTCTCTCTTACTTCAAAACCTTCACATCTCACCTGGCAGGTACAATAAACACAGGGTTCATCTTCGGGAACAAAGTTGTGTCCATTGATTACTTTTCTTCCCTTGTAATTGCAGTCTATGGGGGAAAAATGCATAAGAAATACAATTTCAACCGTGAACATACTATCCACAGACCTGCTTATGAGGCAACATGACCAGATTATAATATAGTGTCATATAAAAATTCAGAAGTTACTTTCTGTAATACTAAATATTACTCAAGATTACTGGAACATCCCAATTGCTGACTATTGCACAAATGATTGTATAGATGAGAATTCCTACAGCAAGAGAGGTAAACAACCCATCAGATATCAAGCTGAATATTTAAGAATCAAATCAGTTACTAACAAACTTCTCTAACATTTTAATTTTTAGTCTCATCTAAGCAATAAAGACCATGCATATATTCTTACCAACTATACAGACGACTGTTTAGTTTCTACATAAATAAATGTCAAATGCAGGCACACTGTTTTAAACAAATTACACTGCATGAAAATATGAAACACACAAGTTATGCAAACTTTTCATCAGTACACAGAACAGAACACAGTATACAAAAATAAAACTGTTTCTCTTACAGATTTGTAAGAGAACAATGCATGTTTTTTAAAAAAGTTGCAGTCCTTTGATTGCTCACTTTTTTAATAAGATTTTTTCCAAGCTTGATTTATAGCATTGCTTACTTCTGGGCTGGCTAAAAATTTCAGTTCCCGCACTATTCCAACTAAAATTGACTTCAAAGCATTATTCTGGCTTTTTAGTGCCTTTTACTAGCAATTCCCTCCCTTCAGCTTCTGCTCTTTTTATTGCTTCCTTTTCAATAAGGAAGTGGCATTTCAACTAAATTTTCTCCTGCAACATATTCAGTTCCTATGTACATTGGGAGAAGCAGGATGCCGCAAGGCTAAACTAAGGTTATTTTATTATTATTTATTTTCTCCAACATTTTTCTTTAATTCCATCTTAATAGCAAAATAACTATAAATAATTGTGCTTCAAATGCAAATCAAGATGCAAATTCTCTTGAAAAGCAATAGCAAAAAATGCAGTTAGTAGTACAGAATATAGGTTCCATTTGGAATAGTCTTTTAGAAAAGTTACATTGCTGTGATGCTTACCATAACAAATTGGACAGCACTCGCCCTCTGGATGGAAAGGATATGTACAGGATACGACACAGTCCACAGGAGAACAGGCTACAGAGCCCAGCTATAAGATCCATACACAGACATGCATAGAGTTGTACATGTACACACACATGCAGACGCATGCGCAAGCACACACACACGCACATACACACAGGAAGAACCTATATTAATGGCAAAGCAATATTATTATACTACAATTTAAAATCTTCATCTCCTAACACATTTTTGTTTAGGTTTCCTCCCCTCCCTTTTTCCTTATTTCTAGTTCTTCCTCCGCCCCCCAGAATAGCGCATTCCTTAGTAATAGTTGTAGTCAGGGATATACTTCTTGTAGTATTACAGAAGAATGTATTTCAAAAATAGCAAATAGATTTGTTTTCTAAGCGTCAAGCGAGGTGTGTTAAATATAGAAGAAAAGGGCAAATGGAACATTATGAGCAATTTTCAAATTATTCTTTCTTGTGACTTTTCCCTTGAACTGACTCAAGTCCTATTATTTCAGTAAGAAATGTCAGAGGGTTAATTCTTCCCCTTTTTAGTCATATCCAATTTTCTATGTCCCTACTCTCTTGGGATATCCTGGGATGTTTTTACATGAAGTCATGCAAAACCCCATGCATATAAGCATGACATAAATTACATCTGTATCTCTCTGAAAGGTTAAGGGAGAGTGGAGTGGATATACCATTTTGATTCCCTCTTGGGAAGTGGACTCTTAGCCCAAAGAAGGTTATTAACAGTTTCTTTCTTTCTTTCTTTCTTTCTTTCTTTCTTTCTTTCTTTCTTTTCTTTTCTTTCGAAAATGTATATAGCCACCTACTACTCACAGAGACTCTTGCTCGCTCACAATTACCAGGGTTTTAGCATTTTTTCAGCTGGGGTAAGAGAAGCAGAGGACTTACCAAACAAATGCAACTTAGACACGGGTCCAAGACAGAGGGGAAGGTTTCATTGTTATAGAAGATCTTCCCTGCATAGGTACAACCTTTTGTTGTGAAAGGGAAAAACATATTTACTTGGTCTACTTGAGCCAGATGGCCTGTATAAAAACCTTCAAGAAAGCATAAGGCAGGTAGACATCATATGGATGGATGCTTGTTTGAGGTTGGTGGACAAAATAACTGCACAATGCCTTGTGATGAAACTTTAGGAAATGTTCATCTGAAAGTACTCAAGTGTAATGTAAACAGCATCTGCTACTGTTAAGTATTGAAAAAAACAACTACCACAAAAAGTAATAGTTTTGGAAATTATTTGCTCGGCTTACAATGACTTTGCCTATACATATTGTCTTCTCATAATGAGTACCAGGATACATTTTTTTAAAAGCAGGAATGTTCATTTGAGATAGGTTTTTCACATTTATACATGAACAGAACAATATTCTGTCTACTTTAAAAGCAAAAGGCAGAGGCAAGAAGCAGAATTAAATGGTATTTGATCTTTTATTTATTTATTAAATGTACGTGCCACTTGAAGCTCAGTGACTCTGGGCAGTCTTTTTTGATTGTCTTAATTTTCTGTACAATGTTGGTATAAAAATGTTAAAGATTATGTACGCATTGTTTTTCAAAACAGCTATATTTATGTTGTACAATATGGATGTTCTAGGAACACCCCTAAGAAAAAAACAGCTTTCTAAAAAGATGGAATTTTACCTGCTGAACAATCTGGACAGCATTGTCCAGGGATTTGGATTGGATGAGGACACATCTCCAAACAATCTGTCCTCTTACAGCTCACTGAACCATCTGCCTGTAACAGAAAAGAACTTCACAGAAACCCACAGCACAAAATGCTGGTCTGTTTTGGACAGACAGGCTCTCCATTGCCTCCACTCCCCAACAGAAGTATCAATCTTCTATTAGTTGCCTTCAAAAGGTTCTAGAAGTCTTCTGTTATTTTACACCCAAATAAGGTGAGCGTTGGATGGTATCATCTTGGGAGAATTGATTACAATCTTAGCATTCATATCCTAGAGCCTCACTAGTGCTCTGCCTGCACTCTGCAATTAGGATTAGCCCAGAGATGCCCAGTTCCAGGCATCAGTGCAATAACAGAGAAGGTGTCATCACTTCTACCCAATGAGGCCTATGGGGACATCCTAGCAAATGAGCAGGTAGCATCTGGAATGCTGGGGAAACTGAGAAATTACTATTGAACCAGGAGATTGCAAGCAGTGAAGAAACAATGACAAGAAAGGAAATGCAAGACTGTTAAGTGTGGTTCTATTGATTTATAATGTGAATATGCACCATTCTATCTGGCCAAAGGTGTCAAAGCATAGAGAGTACAAGTGCTACCCCTCCTTCTGTATAATTCTAAAAATGCAAAATTTCACATTGGTAGGAGGTGATGCCATCATTCAGTGTAGCCAAGGGGTGCCATATACACTGGAGTCAACATTGCTTGCAGACAATGGGCACTGTCTCCCCTGGCCATTTTGGTTTAGACTGCAGGAAAAAAACAAATCCCTGATGGCTAGTGGATCTGCTCATGTAATGCATAGCTAATATTTGTCTGCCTCAGGCTGATTTTTGAAATGCTCTTTCTGAAAGAGCAATAGACCAATGTCTATTATGAATTGCTGATGTGTCAGTAGTCAATGGTAGTCGTTTTCCTCACTGACAGGCAGCACTTGGTATGAGGAGAAATTAAGCCACGTGGTTTCCTTTCACTTTCCTTAACTTGTCCAGCATTCAAACAGTAAAATGGCAGCCTCATTATTGAAGCAGACTATGGATTGTCAAAGAAGGCAGCACAATATACGCAAGCATACTTTTTTATCCAACTAGATACTGGAGGACTGCATTTAATACAAATATTTGACTCTGCTCAAAATAAAAATATGAGGATGAGGATGAGGATGATATAATAATTGGTCTCTCCACACGTCATCCTTAGTGAAGCCTGCAAACCAGCATCTGCATTTCCTGCATCGGATGCGGAGAGCACATCTTTCTCCTTCTGTCCTGGCCACTTTTTACAGAGGCACAATTGAGAGCATTTTAACAAACTAAATCACTGTCTGGTCTGGTGGCAGCAGTGCCTCATATTAGAAGGTCCATACAGAGAGTGGTAAGGACAGCCGAGAAGATCATAGGATGCTCGCTCCCTGGTTTTCAGGATGCTGCTTATAAGTGCTACGTGCTTAGAGCTCAAAGCATTGTTAGAGACCCGCACACATCCACTTCACAGTCTGTTTCTGTTGCTCCCCTCTGAGAGGAGGTTTTGAAGTATTTCTAGCAGGACTACCCGATTCTGTAATAGCTTTGTTCCCTATCCCATCCGTCTGGTAAACTCACAAGATTCATGTTTCTCGCTGTGTACATGTATACATAACCAGAACTAGACTTTTGTTTCTCTGTGTCATATAATATATGTGGGTATATGCATAATTCTGTATTTATTTATTTATTTTTGTCATATTTATGTAGTGTATATCGGAGGTGGTGACCCTTTGAAAGCTGTATGCAACAAAATTTCATTTTAATGTATGCCAATTAGTGTACATTCAAAGTGACAATAAAGTTATTATTCTATAATAATAATAATAATAATAATAATAATAATAATAATAATAATAATAATAATAATAATAATAATAATAATAATAATAATAATAATAATAATAATAATAATATGCGATAGGAGACTGGAAGATTGAAACTAAGTGAAGTAGAGCAGGTTGTCATTCACCTGGCAGATGCATAACTCACAGGGATCACCCGGTGACCAGAGCTGTCCTACTGGAAATTCAATTCCATTATCATCTATAAAGCAACCTGTCCAGAAAAGAGACACAATGAAAAGAAACATCTCAGAAAAAATAAAAGGCTCTCTCTTGCCAGCATGCTTGCTAGGAGAAGTATTATCAGCAATTTACATCAATATGTCCATGGTTGTAAGAGAGAGAATCAAGACCTGCATGGATAGCTAGTTTGATATTTGGTCTGATGTGTTCCATGTGTCTTAACCATAAAGAATCTCACTGAAGAAAGTAATGCACTGTAAAAAAAATTGCTACAACTCCTAGAGAGGCTTCTAGGGATTGTGATTCAAATGTTTTTTCTACTTGCCTTCATTTATACTGGCTCTGGCTGGGCCAAAGCTATAAAGGATCCTTCCTGAGGTAAGGACAGTGCCAACAGCAGGGCCACCTCTGAATGACTGATTCCAAAGAATGTTTCACTTAGGGAGATCAGAAGCCAAGATTATATGATCTACTAATTTTATCTTGACTTTATATTTGCATGTGCATTGATACTTGCTTGCTGTGTGTATCTTATCCTTTTGTATAAGTATTGAATGCTTGGGTGTGGATGTTGATGATGTTACTGTATCCTTAAGGGAGGAGAACGAGAGAAAGAATAGGAAGCTCTTGTTGAAGCAATTTTGGATCATAAGGATAGGGATAAAGTTTGCATTGTGAAAACTAACCAGATAAAGAAAACTTATATTAGATGTTTGAAAATTATCCTGTGTTTTAATCACCTTTCAGCAAGCTAGCGAAAAAGTGCCAGGCCAATCTGCCTTTTGGTCTTATGGACTAATTTTTTTTAATTTAATATCTTTATTTTTTACAATACAAACTTTAATCTTACAAAAAGCTTAAAAATTAAAAATGTAAACTAAATGAAACTAAGCTGGAAAAATATGTATCTTATATATTATATTTATCAACAGTCACTGGTTCACCAGTGAATTCACTACTGCAATATAAACAATAGAAAACATTATTGTAAGATATCACAAAATCTTTCCCATAATGAAAACTTACTGCTGCATCCTTTGATTTTTCCAAAGCAGATAGATGCACATTTCTGACAACCATTTTTTGGCATCTTGAATAATATCACTTTTCCAGTTTCTTCATACTGTATAATTATTTTGTTTGGCACCCTCAACACTTGATGCAACCACAATAAAGAATCAAATTCCAAAACTTTGGCATATAGTTTAACATTACATTAACATCTTAATGTATATTAATTAAATGCAGTAGTCCTCAACTTACAACAGTTCGCTTAGTGACTGTTCCAAGTTACAACAGCACTGAAAAAGTGAGTTATGACCATTTTTCACACTTATAACCATTGCAGCATCCCCATGGTCATGTGATTTACATTCGGATGTTTGACAACTGATTCATATTTATGACGGTTGTAATGTCCTGGATTCATGTGATCACCTTTTGCGACCTTCTGACAGGGGAAGTCAATGGGTAAACCAGATTCACTTAACAACCGTGTTACTAATTTAACAACTGCAGTGATTTACTTTATAAATGTGGCAAGAAAAGTCATAAAATGGGGCAAAACTCACTTAACAAATTTCTCACTTAGCAACATAAATTTTGGGCTCAATTGTGGCCGTAGGTTGAAGACAACCTGTAATATTCCAGTAGCTCAGTAGTTAAGTAATCTTTAAGTGTTAGATTCCCCATAAATCTACTAATATACATTAATACACAATTCCCCCAAAGATATTTAATGATACTCTATTACTATTTCCAAGAACCTTCACATCATAGATGCACGTGTTCTCGCATGCTGACTGCAAGGATCTCACCTGTCATGAGTGCAGTCTTCCGGCAGGTGAAGCAGCACTGTCCTGGAGCCAACAGCCAGTCCTCATGGGGACATCCCGGGGTGGGGCATGGAATGAAGGAGCACTCCACTTCACCTTGCTGAAGGAAGACCAGGTACCATTATTAATGAAAAGAATACAGAGGAAGTCATCAAGACAGGCGTCCACAATTTCTTTTTAACAGAAAATTAAATTAAATTAGGGAAATCTCTCAAGCGATGCAAAGTTTCTCTAGTGGTTTTCTGGATCTGTTTCAACTGGGCTTCCAACTAGTATATACAACTAAGAATTCCATAGTCACCCTAGTAAGTGATCTACTGTTGGCAAGCGCTGGATGGAACAGGGTTCCATTGATCTATTTGTCTTATTTGGGTACCATCATTTTAGTAGCTTCAGGGCTTCTTCAGTTAGGCAGAAGGGATATTATTTGTAGAACGCATTCCCACATGATAGTATTTTAGCCCAAATAGCTCCATGTTTAGAAAAAGGATAAAAAAAAAGCTCCAGAAATATGCCCTTGGAGTTGTTCCATGTGATTTTACATGTTATATGTTTTTAAATTGAGTTTGACTGTATTTGTTTATTTGTTTGTTTTCGCATTTTTAATTTGTCAGTGCTTTTTAAAAAAATGCTTCAACATTTTCTGTCTGGCCCCTTCTTTGCCGCAGAGCATTCGAGGGCTATTAATAAGCTTTCCCTTCAGAGGCCTAATTTAGCCAATTTCACAGTTGACATATAGTTCTGGAATACCAATAGAACTTATGTAATAGTTTCAAGTTTCTGCAGTGAAGCAGAAAAAATGTTTCTCTTTTAACAGATAAGAAAAGTTACAAAAGTTCAAGAAAACCAGAAATAAAAGATCGAAGTCATCCTTCTAAATAATTGAGATGCATGGTTTCTTAGGTAAAATGATGTAAGCACAGTCTTAAGCTGCTGCCAATGTTTATATCTCATCACACGCTTTTCATTGGGAGAAAGAAAAATGTAACACTATAACAGTGTGCATTTGTGTGTACGTAAGAGAAAGAAATCAAGAGCGACTGTGTACTAAGTGAAAAAAGTTAATTGGAAAACCCTCTGAGATAAGTAAAGGTACATCTGAGAAACTGTAAAAGATGTATAGAGATGTCTCAAATATTGTTGGAAATGTAATTGTAAAGAAGATACTTTTTATCATCTTTGGTTAACTTGTGATAAAGAAAGAAATATTGAGGCCAGATTTATATTTTATTTAGAAGATTCTGAATTCAGAAGATTCTTAAAACAAATACAAAATGGAAGCCAGAATTTTTCCTTTTAGGACTATTAGACAAAGAGCTTTGGGGGGAAAAATGGAACTTTGTTCTTATATACATTGACTTGAGTGAGAATTTTATATGCACAAAGATACATCAATTCCTGCAACGGAAGAATGAATGGAAAAACTGATGGAGCTGGCAGAGATGGCAAAATTAACTTTTTTAATAAAATAAAATAATGTATACAGTTTTATTTCTACTTGAAACTGCTTCTGAACTTTATACTCAAAACACACAAAAAATGAAACTTTGATCTTGGCTTTTGATGATTAAATTATAGTTATAGAAATGGCTATGTGAAGTAAAAAAATGAGGTTCCATCTCTAGTTCATATTTTACTGCCCTGAAAAAGGTTGGAAGTCACTGCTTTTAATAATAATAATAATAATAATAATAATAATAATAATAATAATAATAATAATAATAATAATAGTAGTAGTAAAGTTGGAAGGGATCTTGGAGGTCATCTAGTCCAATCCCCTGCTCAGGCAGGAAACCCTATACCATTTCGGACAAATGGCTGTCCAGTCTCTTCTTAAAACTTCCAGTGTTGGAGCATTCACCGCTTCTGGAGGCAGGTTGTTCCACTGGTTAATTGTTCTAACTGTCAGGAAGTTTCTCCTTAGTTCTAGGTTGCTTCTCTCCTTGCTTAGTTTCCACCTGTTTGTTTCTTCCCCTTTCCTTTTCCTTCCCCATTCCCTTATCTTTGTTTCTATGTATTTTATATTATAACAAAGTTCAATAAAAAGAAAGGTAGATGAGTAAAGGTAGATAAAATACATACTCTGCACACACAAGTGGTACAGTTATCACCATCTGGGTTGAACTCGGACCCTTCTGTGTATATTTGCCCACGGAAATGACATTCTGCTACAGAAGAAAGCAACATTCATAGCAGAAAGATTGGTGACCAGATAAAAGGCCAATTAATCTAAGGCATCACATTTACAAATTTATAGCTTTTATGTTCTTGTGCCCATAGCTCTTATTATGTAAATTTATTCCACTTTATACTGTGAATTCTAGCATCACCTACTCATAGGATATTCTATTTGTTTAGATGAGGTCTTTCAAAGAATGACTTCCCATCATTTCTACCCTTCTTGTTTTACTCTGTGTCTAAAAAACAAGATGTTTTTATGGCAAGGATTAAGTAATCGAGATCTACCTGGCTGGCAGGGACAACAGTCTGTCTGAACAGAACTGGGACATGGACTGGGTGTACATTCTGGAGAAATACAGGAAATGTTGCCTGCCTAGAATGAAAAACAAACATTGTAGTGCAGATTGGTTGATTTTTCATTTTCTGCAATGTAGTTTCAGCCTAATATCACATCTGAATTATATTTTTGAATGTCTTCCATAAACTTGTGGCATCAGGAGAATTTAGATTTCAGCCACTATAATTTCTAGGCAACAACATGAGAAAAACTGTGACAAAGAATGAATAGTTTATCATGAACATAATCCTTCTCCTCCCAAATGCTCACACCCATTGTTTCCATTAGATTCCAAATGCTCCTCACTCTGGAACATCTCAGTGCATTTTGCCACCTCAGATAAGCAGTACATGCTCTGAGTCAAGTGTTTAGTACCAAGACCACCAACACTATTTTTGGCTTTGGGACAGAGACATCCTATGAGCTTCTCTTTGGCAATAATTAAAATACTGATTAACTTAACTCTGGGGAATATGCTCTCCTTTCGTGACACCTACTCCTAACAGTAGGATTAGTATTGCTCCTAGCCACGATGTGGCTGGTAATGAGTCTCAGTGCATCTCACCTACAAAATTACCCCTTGGAAAAACTCTGCTCACCCAATCAATTCTATGCACTCTTCCTGGATAGCAGACTTCAACCACTGGAGACAGGCATCCCAGTGGTTATGTGGATAAGAGTGCTAACAATGAAGGCTGAAAAGGAAGAGAGTACAGCTTGTAGTGAGGGGTTTGTAAGGGCTATGGGAGAAGGATAGTAACACACTATATCCTGCTCCTGCCTGTGGGATCCTTGCCCAGGTTTAAAATCAGAGGGAACCCTCCTTGCATGTGCCTCTGAACAGCCAGGTTCAGAAAAGGAGTTTCGGTGGCATGAAAGCAACATGAAAATGCAAGTTTGATAGAAGCTGAAAAATATTTTGTCTTCCACTCTAGTATTGTTCTCCCTTCTTTCTGTATTTTTGTTTTTGAAACTTGGCATTTTTGACAAATAGTTGAAAATTGGTGACCCAAGATATGGCTACATTAACCAGTTAAAATCATGTGGGCCTAAAACTTCATGTTAAATTGGATAATAATTTGTACTAAAGTAAAATGATGGAGGAGGAGGAGGAGGAGGAGGAGGAGGAGGAGGAGGAGGAATTCCATCTCTTAATTCAACCCTACTTTCTGGGCTATTGGTAAAAAAAAACAGATGCCCTTCAAAACATTTACAAGTTTCAGTACAATGTTGTTAGATGGCTCCTAGCAAAAGCAACAGTCATTACTTGAAGCTTTATTTCCATCTAAAGATACCAGTGTTAGCAAGTATTAATTTATATGTCCTCAAAGAAATACCAGCCCCAACTCCCTGAGGCTCACCAGGCAGACACAGACTGTGCAGTTCTCCTCAGAGAGAGAGAATACGTCCCCTTCAACTCTGGACATCCCATAATAGAAACAGCCTGTAGGAAACAGGAATGAGAAGATGCTTCTCTGAAGGGACAAGAACTAAGGTAAATAGGCCCCATTACACCTTTCTCTTAACTGGGAAGCATGTAGATGTTTTCAAAAACTTGCTAGATGCTCTCCAATATTCCATAGAAGAAAACACTTGTAACAATATCACCATTCGCAAGTCACAGATAATTCAAGGTACCTCTTGGCTGTTGAACACAATTAAAAGCTCTATTTCAGTTACGTCCAACATGCAAACCTCCATATATATTACACTATACGTTCCTATTAGGCCCAATAGTCTTAAAGAAGGCCACCAAGTTGGGAAACATTGCTCCATCTGCTGTATCCATTTCTTTTTTGAAGACTTTAGAGCTATTTTTTTTAAAGTAAGTCTAGGTTAAGGAATGTCTGTGGGTACCAGGATAGACCTGTGATACTCCAAATGATGTCCATAATGTTTGAGAGCTAGAGTAACATTGTGCTTGGATTTAGTTCAGCTCAGTTCACCCTTAGCCATAGAAATTCAATAGTGTCTTTGGGCCAATTACTCTCTCAGCTCAACTTGCCTCATAGGACGTGTGTGTGTGTGTGTGTGTGTGTGTGTGTGTGTGTGTGTGTGTGTGTGTGTGTAAAAAGCAAATGAAGGGAAAGCTATGTATGCTGCCTTGAGCTCCTGAAGAAAAGATGGGATGTCAATCTAATTAATAAATAAATTCACTACATTAAAAGTGAATGAAATTGCCAAATCTTACAAAGTTCAAACAATACTAGAATCAATAGATGATATTACTGAAATCTTTTAAGACCTGAAAACCTCATGAGATTTTAACCAATTCAACTTTTTAATTTTAAAATTGGTGGGACAATGGCAATTTTTTTTAGCTTTCAATTAAAAGTCATCTTTAAAAAAACCTTCAAAACTATCCTATAATTTATTAACTATACACAGAATGTTGCCTAGCTCAGTACTAGAAGCCAAGCTTGATTCACATGAGCATTTACATTTTACATAAAATGATAGGTTGCACAACACATGGCACCTGTCTGAATAAAGATGCATCTATCTTGTGTCCAACTTTCAGATGCCCTAGTGAATGAGATGATCCATGAAGTATGATAATTCAAGAAACTTAGAACCACATTATATAATTCCCAGGAAGCAAAAAGGAATGGGGGCTTATCAAGCCAAGTTCCAGAAATCAGGAACTGCTTCTGATCAATTGAGGGGGAAAGGGGTATATGATGAAAATCCTCCACGGCTAGAACAAGGGAAGACCCACATGATCCAATATGACACAAGCATATAGAGCAGGGGTCTTCAAACCTGGCCCTTTTATGACTTGTGGACTTCAACTCCCAGAATTCCTCAGCCAGGCACGCTGGCTGAGGAATTCTGGGAGTTGAAGTCCACAAGTCATAAAAGGGCCAAGTTTGAAGACCTCTGATATAGAGCCTTGATCTAGTGGGTATTTCTCTCACCTGTGCAAGTAGGACAGCACTCTCCTTGGGCTGGGGGAATTGGGTGAGAGCAGGAAACTTCACACGTCACAGCTCGACAAAACACTTGTCCACCCTGAAATAAGACAATACAGGCAGTACCGACATAATACTTGAAGTTGGAGAGTAAGATAAGAACTTAAAATATGCCACATACCTCACAGGAGCAATTCAGACATGGTGGCTCTATCCAGTAGCTGTTATCTTCATGAAGAACCCCTCCATGCCAGCAGGCAGATGGCAGGGTGGGAATTGAGGGAGTCAAAGGGCTTGGGGGAAGAGATGGGCTAACCTTCTTTGGTAGCAGTGGTGACAGAGGACTTACTGGTAGAGAAGGCCTGGCTGTTCTGGGTGAGAAGGAGGTGCCAAAAGATGAGCTGTGGGGAGGAGATGAGGAAGTGGGGGAAGATGCGGGTGGAAGCACAGAGAGAATGGGAAGGAGCAGGAAAGGAGATGGGGTTCCAGGTACACTGGAGGGAGCAAGTGCTGGAGAACCCCTGGGGGGCAACACAGGTCCTATAGATTCTGGAGAAAGGCGTAGCAGAGTCTGTGGCTGCTGAAGAGACTGCAAAATGGAAGAAGGGGCCAGGCTGGACTTTGAAAAACCTGTGAGGCAGGAGGAAGGAACAGGGAAGAGAGAGAGAGACACAAACACACACAAAGAGAGAAACTGTCAGCCCTCACAGGTAAACCAAATAGGAAACATAACCGGATAAACTAATTCTACTTTGTTGTAAGGCTACATTAACAGAATCTTGCAATTCTGAAGCACAGACTTCCTGCCACCACTTTTAACTGCCCGAACAATTAGGACAGATCCTTCCTAAGTTTCTTCCTCTGGAACTGTTAATCCAATGGGGGCTCCTCCCTCTCTTGTCTGATTGTTTCTAGGCAGCATCTCTTCCCTTTATTCCCCAAGGTCATTCACATATTCCATTACAGAAATGGCCAATTATATTCAGAAATCCTCCCCACCTTCCCTCCCATCCTGCCCAAAACGCACAGCTTCCAAGTCACTATTGGGAAGATATTTCCATGAATAAGAGCTTTTACACTGCACTCTCAGTTGTGCCTTTTACCCAGCTTTTGACTTCAGTCTTATCTGATTACAAAAACAGAGGCTTTTGAAAAGCCTTGTTAATGGAACCCAACGGATTCATAAATTCTGTATTTCTAGAGTAAACAAAACCCCATTTTGAAAAAAATAGGGAGCATCTGTCAAAACAAACTACTTATGGAGCAGGTAGAATTTTGAGTAGAGATTACTCATTTCTGTTTATCTGCTAAAAAGTTCACATAAAAATATCATTTAAGAGACACTCAGGGAAAAAAAGACATGTTTCTAAAAGATGCAAACAGAAAGGTTTATTTTTATTAAAAAATATAAAGTGCATAGAGTGAAAAATGTGTATTACAAAATTGCGCTTCAGGGAAAATTATGTAACAAACGAGGTCAGATAAATTTGTATAAAGTGTTTCTTGGAAATGATTATCAATGTAATATGTACCAAGGGTGATTGCATACCAAACTCTACATGACAAAATACACTGTTAAAAACTGTTGCCAGTTATTTTACAGATCTTTTAAAAGCACATTAAAAAAAACCTGGCTATTCCTTCCTGTCAGTCTATTTGTCAGTTACTTTAGAGAAATATATTCCTGCCCCAGAAATCCGATCGGGTGAGTTCCACATGCTCACTTAATCCAACAGACTGAGAACCTCTTTGAATTGATCTTGGTTTTTTGAGTTGGCCAAGAACCAGCAGGCATAACTAAGACGGGGTTGTCAGCAAGAAGAAGAAAGGGGAGGGATTTTGATTGATAGTTGTCATAGTTCTGTTCCATTGGAACAATACATTTGGCAAAAGCACTGTCATTGATGAAACTCAACAAGACATTTACCAATATAGATGAGATGAGCAAGGAAGGGGAAACAACATGCTGGCTGAGATTGTCCAGAAGAACAAATGGAACCACCATTCTGGGCAGTTTATAGCAGCAAGTCAGTCTTTGCTGGGCTGTGTCATTTTGGCTTACTAAACATGTGGATCGGATTTCCACATTTACCAGCATATCCCTGTTCTCCCACTGATCACGTACATATTCCCATTGTCTCAGGACCTTTTTAGTTGATCAGTTTGTACAACCATAAACAAATAATTGATGCAATGCAAAGGATGAAAAAGGCTTTCTTGCAGGATGAGCTATATGGCAGTCCTTACCTTCACAAGACAATCTGTCCACACTGAGTCGGTAGCCTGGATGACAGCTGCACATAAAACTCCCCAATGTATTGTGGCAGGAATGTTGGCAGGTTCGCTTCTCACTGAGTCGGCGGCATTCATTCACATCTGCACCAGACAGACGCAGGGCGCTAGAGGCTTACAGCACAGCTAGGTCAGCCCAAGCTTGTAGCTGGGCAGAAATTCTTGTTGCTTAGCCATAAAGGGCCAGAAAGCATGAGATATTGTGACATAAATAAATAAATTGTATTGTATACATATACATAAATATATGTATACATACACATACACATATATGCACACACATACATACACAAACTATGCAACAGTTAGCATATAGATAGTGAATAACTGTGGGCTCTCTTTTATTTTTCTTAATTATTTTTCTTAATCGCTTGTATTTTTCTCAATTTTATTTTTCTTAATTTCTAGTCCACTCTGTTTGAGCACGGGGCTGGACTAGAAGACCTCCAAGGTCCCTTCCAGCTCTATTCTGATTGATCCCTTAGGAATGGGAAGTGAATCTTCTTTGGATTTACAGTGAATTGTATCATTTGCTTTAATCACCGTAGAGACAGAACAACAAAAGTGCAATAAATGTGGGGAGAGAGGGAAAGGGTCTGTGTTGATATCAAAGGAGAGAATGTGAATTGAAGACCTGCTTTTGTGCAAATGCTTGGAAAGCAAAGGAAAAGACCAGGGATAAGAGGAGAAAGCAAACTCTAAAGCAACCAAAAGCACTTTGAAATTACAATATCATTTTATTAGTAGGCAAACAATAAAACAGGCACCCAGCCAAATACTTGTAGCTTACTAACCCAGAGCAAAAGCAAAACCAGAAGTTATACACTCCAGGCCTACTACAGTGCAAAAAAAAAAAAGAAAAATCAGACAAGTCAAACACAGTAGAAATTGTAGCATGACATTGATAACTATTTTGATAAGCCCATCTGGGTGACTTTATTATTTATTATTTGTTTGTTTATTATTTTATCAAATTTCTATACTGCCCATGTCACCCAAGTGATTATATATCCTTTCCTATTAGGTCAGCATGCTAGCTGTACTGTTCCTGACATATGGTCAATGAATAGAAACAAATTGGCTGCAGGTTCTTGACTGATTATTTCCCCTGTCACCACTCGGAGCCAAGTCAGTTTGCTATTAATATTTTCTTATAAGAACACTTTAAGGAAAATATCTATGGAGGTTCTCAGTCATCCAGGTCATGGTTGTCCCAAAAAGTGCTTTTTTCAAGCAGCAAGTAGAATTTCTTGAACATCTTCAAGGAAAATCAAGAAAGTCCTGTTGCTGTTCAAAGAAAGCACCTTGTGGGATGACACTTTAAGCAATTCATATGCATGAGGGGAAATCTCATAGGTCTGATACTGAATGCAGCTTAGTGTCTGCATGGGGTACCTTGTACCACCACAATATTGAACAGGAAAAGTTTTCCATAATCATTTCTCAATTTGGGAAAATATCTCTGCTAAATTTAGATATGTGATGCTGTTAGGTTTACTAAAAAGAACAAAGAACTCAAAGATACTAATCAGCCCATTTTCAAATGTGCAGTTTTAGGAGCCCAAATAGCCGTTGTCACTCTGATTTGCAGCAGCAAACCACACTGCAGCCTCCTGGAGTCTCAGTCAAAATAGGCTGTTTTCCAAAAACTAAAGCAGTGTTGATAACATACCTGCCTGGACCTCATTTCTGAAATGAAATAAATCCTTTAAATGATTCAGTTCCAATTTGTTTTCCAAGAAGCTATAGCTGTCACAGAGCTTTTAGGCTAGGGTAAACCATTCATTTTAGAAGAAAGGTATCTGCTGAACTCTCCAACAAAAGCAGAATCACTCACCCACACATGAATGTCGGTTGCCATGAAGGTAGAATCCAGGATGACAGGAACATTGATAGCTGCCGATACTGTTTTGGCAGTGCTGCTGGCAAGGTGTTGTTAGGCACTCATCAGTATCTGGGATCAAGATGGTCAACACTATTGGCCCATGACAATCCATCCTACCAATGTTCCTTCTGCAATTTTTATAAAAAACCTCATCCAGACCTTCCTTCTTACAGACCCAGTTTGACCCACCTTGACAACTGTGCCGGTCAGTCGCAAGTTGCATCCCTGGGCCACATTCACACACAAAGCCCCCTTCTGTGTTCACACAAAGCCCCTCGCAGGAACCACTCAGGCACTCATCAATATCTGCAGAAAAAAGATTTTTGTGGGTCAGCAAATATGAAGGCAGAAGAGACCAGCTGCACGAAAAGACAAAAATGGAGACAATTTCAGGGCTAAATGATCATAGTTGAAGAATAAGACGTCTCTTATGAGAGCAATGCATTTAAAGATATTCTCCCCCATCCCTTCCCCAGTGTGAATGGAGTTTTCCAGAATCAGTGGAAAACTGATTATGCATTCATATGGGACAGAACCAACAATTTACAGCCAGCAGGATATCATCTGGTGTAAACCAAACTTCTGCACCATGTAGAAAAAGAGAATTCTAGTTCTGCTTATTAAACATAGAGCTAGGGCTTTTTTCCCAAAGAGTGCTAAAGCCATAATTTAAAAGACGAATTAAAAGATGCTCTTTGTAAAGAGGGTTAAAGTCATGCATACAAGTCACCTATGAGTGATTGACTAGTGCTGCAGTCTGTGGAAATCAGACATCCAGTCTCTATAATAACACAAGTCAAAGTGCCCAGGGAGGACACTACTGAGTGATCAGAAGGTTGGCTAAGTGTAACAGAGTAGTGGGTGGGATTGAGAACTTGGAAACACATTTCAGAAGAAGGCAGTGCAAATCACTTTCATAGCATCATGTCTGTGATATCAGCAGTTGAGCTTGATTTGAATAGATTCCTTTTACTTTTTGATTTATACAGAATCATTTTAGAACACTGAAGCCTATCATGACCCCTTTTCACCTTAGCACAGCCTCAATATTATTATTTTGGTCAGGGCCGGTTTAGCATTGAGTTGTTGATATATTTGTGCATTTGTGTAAAGAGTAAGTGTTTCAGTGAAAAAGATTTGTAGCATATTTTTTTAATGTAGTAAACAAAATAAACATGCCACTGATCAAATGCCAAACCCAGATAAAATTATCTTTCCCCCAAATCACAAGCCTTATGCTCAAAAATACATTTCAGGATATTGAAATGCTGGACCAGCCAACATGTGTTACAATTATTGATCCAGCTTTTAATGAAGTTGCAGGTAATCTTTTGGACAAGGGTGACCCCTTTTCTTTTCTTCTCCTTTGCTCCCAACCCCCACCCCTTAGGGAGTGCTCTGAAGTATGTAAGACCCATATGGCATATGATGTTAAGAGAATGGCTAGGACTGAAAATTTTGGACTTTCTGATTACTTGTTTCTCATTTGGGGGCAAAAAAGTGAAAACGATTGCTCATACCAGATTTCAGCAGCAGGATCTGGGGATGTTCTGGAGCCATAGCTGTATGGTCAGATGTTGACCAATTTTGCTATAGCTAAAGACCAATGACTTGCTCAGTCTAAAAGGGTAAAAACTCCCTATGACCCCTGTGTTGAAGGTCCATTTCTCCTTACTCCCAGGGAGAGAGTTACCCCATTTTCTGGCTTACCCACACAACGTACACCATTAGTTGTTTCAGTCATAGAGAATCCCAGAGGGCACACTCTTGCCACCTCCTGGCAGCCTCCATGATTGCAGGTGAGATCACAGCCATACTCCCCACAGGCTCCAGGCGGGTCTGTAAAAAAGCAAGATGGGATAGTTGCACAGAGAGGTTTCAGTTAGGGGGAAATCTGTAAGGTAATAAGAATGCAAGGGCTGTGAGAAGGGACAAGGTAGAGGAAAGCATCCCCAATTTCACTGCTGCATGAACAGAAATGTCTATCCTAGCATCTTTAATGATGATGATGGTGGTGGTGGTGGTGGTGGTGGTGGTGGTGGTGGTGGTGGAAGGACCTTGGAGGTCATCTAGTCCAACCCCCTGCTCAGGCAGGAAACCCTATACCATTTCAGACACATAGCTGTCCAGTCTCTTCTTAAAAACTTCCAGTGTTGGAGCATTCACAGCTTCTGGAGGCAGGTTGTTCCACTGGTTAATTGTTCTAACTGTCAGGAAGTTTCTCCTTAGTTCTAGGTTGCTTCTCTCTTTGGTTAGTTTCCATCCGTTGCTTCTTGTCCTGCCTTCAGGTGCTTTGGAGAATAGCTTGACTCCCTCTTCTTTGTGGCAGCCCCTGAGATATTGGAACACTGCTATCATGTCTCCCCTCGTCCTTCTCTTCATTAAACTAGACATACCCAATTCCAGCAACCGTTCCTTGTATGCTTTAGCCTCCAGTCCCCTGATCATCTTTGTTGCTCTTCTCTATACTCTTTCTAGAGTCTCAACTTCTTTTTTACATTGTGGTGGCAAATAGGGCTGCAAAACCTGGAATGACTAGAATGGTAGCAAAGAGGATTTTGATAGAAGTTAATATTTGTAGCTCATGGTTGAACTATGGGGTCCTTGGTGCTCTCTGAGCTTGGTTGTTTTCTTGCAGACATTTCATTACCAAACTATGTAACACCATCAGTGATGATGATGATGATGATGATGATGATGATGATGATGATGATGATGCACTAATTGACAATGTTATCTAGTTTGGTAATGAAATGTCTGCAAGAAAACAACCAACTCAGAGAGCACCAAGGACCCCACAAAGAGGATTTTCTGTTATCCTTTTACTGATACCCTGTGATCCTCTGGAGTTCTGCAACTCAGAACTGGCAGTCCTGGAAAAGATCTTATAGAAAAGGCAAGATGCACTGGCAGAGCCCACAGAAAGAAGAAACCTCCAAGTCCAAGAGCTCCAGTATCATTTTCATTCAGCTGTTCTTGGGTCTGCTTTCAGTGAAAACATCAAACACTATTTGCCTGTTACACTGTTAACACAGATTACCAAAACAATACACATCCCAGAATCAACACCAACTTGATGACATAACAAATTGATCACTCAATCACGAAGAATAACAAACTCCCCACTGGTAAGGAAATACAAAATAGTCTATAACTTTCCAGGGATGATTTACATACATTGTCATATTAAAGAATGAATGAAACGGAATCAGTGACATTAAGCATTAAAAATGGAGAGGGTGGAAATTTGATTCTAAGAATTTGTATCCCTTGCTGGGATCACTATAGCACTGGCTCTAGGAATATCTGGCCATCCACAAGTTTATAAATTGTGGTTCCCATAATCGTGGAATCAATTACATGATTTCAGTTATGAGTTTAGTTTTATTTAAATCTTTAAATTTGATTTAAATGCACTGATGTTAAAAGTTATAACAACTTTTATTATAATAAGATATAATAACAATATTAACCAATAAAATAAAGTAAGTCCACAATTATTAATCATTTAACTAAGATTGATGAAGATTATAGCCTAATACTATCTGGATAAGTACAAGTTTTTCCCTCCTGTCTAAAATGTCCAAGAGGCCATATGAGCCATATATACTGAGGTATATAAAAAGCACAGTATCCTTGGTAATCATACACCATAGCAAGCAGTATAAATGTTCCTACAAATATAGAGCAGAACTTTCCCCAGTCATTTTGTAGTACAGACGATCTCTTCCTATCTCAGAAAACTGTTCCCCATTTCCCAGTTTTTCAATTCTGTCATCTTTCACTTTGTTCTCCCTTTATAGAGCTATAATGATGGGAGGAACTGCATCACAGGGTGTTTTTGGTTTTGTTATTATGGGAAAATGATGTATAACTAAGATATAGAATGATAAAAAAAAATTGCAATCCACTCCATAGAATCTCTCTTAAGGCTCCCAGATTTTAAAATATATCCTAAAGCCACAAACCGAAGGTGTCATCTTATGGTACCAGGCAAACCCTCCATAGGAATCATGCATCCTGTCGGTAAACAGTACTCCTGATAGTATTTCAGGAAGTGCAGCTTACCTTGACAGGTGACACCCTGCCTTCCGTCTCGGCAGGCACAGACATTGGGAGCTATGCAGAAGCCGCTGCCACAGCCAAAGGAACAGAGTGCTATGAGGAGGACCAAGGAAACATCCATTAGATTTGGCAAGAATTGTATATACGTGTGTATGTGTGTGTGTGTAGAATTGCAGACAGAATGGCTATGGTAAGGGATGCTGGTATAGTTCAGCAATACCTGGAGGACTGTAGTTTTCTAGCTCTAAAGTAAGCAACACTTCATCAAAAGTAGAAAAGACTATCCATAGAGTAATTAGTGTAAAATTAGAGTTCCCAGATCAGTTGGAAGAAGAAAATGCCCTAAAAGCTCATCTATAAGCTGAGCTTCAGTGCTGAGTATTTTACTGGAGTGCAATCATCTATAGCACGGTGGGATGTTGGTCCTACTTGTCCCATAAAGGGCAGCTCTGGTCACTGTTCATATCAGTTGCAGTGCTATCTGTTGCTGTTGCTTCCTGTCTGCTTTCCTTTGGAACCCCTTGTGTGCTCTCTTAAGATTATGATAACCCTTGCAGCAAAACATTAATGAACATCAGTTTGCTAATAAGGATTAAAAGTAATAATAATATAGTGCTGGGCACATAATGTAATGATTCTGCAACAGGTTCTAGAAACTTACGCAGCGTGCACTGTCCACTCCCTGGAGATGGTATCCATCCAGGACAGCACCCACTTCCAAAACCAGAGAGACAAATATGTGGTCCAATGCGACGCCTACAAGATGGAAGAAACAGTTTAAGGACCAACCTACCTACCTCCTTTCCTTCCTTCCTTCCTTCCTTCCTTCCTTCCTTCCTTCCTTCCTTCCTTCCTTCCTTCCTTTCTTTTCCTTTTTGTTTGTACATAGTAATTGAGCATTATGTATGCAGAAAGAGATTTAAATACTGTGGATAAAGTGCAAACCAGTCTGACTTGCAACTGTTTAAGCCAGCCACAGAGCTTCTCTAGCTGGACACATAATGCCAGCAAAATGTAACAGCATGTTAGACTAAAAATGTAATTGATGCTGTGTTTGAGACACAAGGAAAGTATTTGGATGAAAGGTACAGTGGGTCAAATTACATAGAAAAACAATTCTTCCTTGGCAGGAGGGAACACAGACTTGCAGAAGTTATCAGTTTAATAGTTTATAGTAGCCGGATTTGGTGGTTGTCCAAAATATGTTGGAGAACAAAATAACATCCCATCCAGCCTAGTCAGAGGACCACGGTAGATAAAGGCAGACAAGAGATTTTGACCCAAGAGGAATAACATTGCGAGCATCTCTCTTCATCCTTAGTAGTAAGATCTTAAGAAATTAAGAAATTAAACTTCAACCCGCACACCAGCCTCAGCCTTCTTATTGTGGCTGTTGTGCAAGTGTCTTATTGTGGCTGTTGTGCAAGTGTCTACTCTCTGGGATGATAGAGGATGAGGATAGGGAAAGAGGACAGAAAAGCTGGGGGAACAAACAAATCAGGTTTCCAGCAAGCATCCCTGACTGCATTTGCAGCATATAGAAATATATATATATATATAATTATGAGAGGGACATATATAGGAAAGCAGCTGCTCTTTTGATCATCGTGAAAGGGGCTGAATGGAAGACATTGTGGTGCCCTGGCTTCAGAGAGAGTGGGAGAAATCCCAAGAGGAGATGAGGCAGGAATTCTCACCAATGCAAAACTATGAATAAATGCTACCAACCGTCTTCACCAAGTTCCCTCTGGAGGAAGAAGAGTACTGTTCAATGTTGAAGAGTTGGGGGAAACTGCCACCATCATGGAGACTGGGGCATGTGTTGTTTATTGGCCTGGCACGGCTGCTGTTGGGCTGGCATGAGTCCAACAAATGGAGACAGAACAGAGGAGAAGAAGCTCGTTTCTAGCCGGAAAGTGCAGCTGCGCTGTCGGGCAGGATGATGAGCTGACCTGGCTGCCAGCCAGAGCTATTGTAGAGAGATGTTGAGACAGCAGTCCTATTGCTTCAGGCTACTGTATAGGTGTTGCAGAATAGAGCGAGGGGGGGGGAGCCCCCATCTCCTCAGTTATTTGGGTACTGCTGCCAGTCTGGCCCAAAGTTGGAGAGAGAGATTGCTGAAGAGGAAAGAAAGGGGGAAAAAGGCTGCAAAACAAAGTGGCTGTAGAGAAAAGGTGGAGAGTGAAGATAAACGAATGTAGGAGCAGTTGTCAATTCCTAGTGGGGGGGGTGGAGAAAAAAAAGTCTACAGGAGGTTTCCCTGGAGGAAAGGAAGGGAAGTGATGACATCCTCACATACAGTATGACCCAAGACAGGAAGAAGGGAGGAAGGAGACAACAGTGTTCACAAAGCCCTAGGGGAAAATTAGCCAGAAGATCCTGAAAGAGATTCTTTCCCCAAGGGAGGGGAAGGTGATCAGGGCTAAGGACACAAGCTGTAAATCCAGCACATTCCTCCCCCCCCTTGTTTTTCTGAGCCAATTGCTATCTTTACACACTGAAATACACCTCCAGCTCTAAAAGAACTAAGTTACACTGTGATAGAGACACAGAGGTGTGGGTGTTGACCAAAGATGGTCACAGTCTTTGCATAAGATGTGCCATAAAACAGAGAAGTCACTCAGTGAAGCCCTAATGGTTATTTTGCTCATTGCACAGGTTCAGAAGGACTATCTTCATGCATACAACAGTGATGCAATCATTCCCTGTGCTGGGTTCAGGTTGCTCATGAGCTACAGAAAAGTGCCCTGGTGGGCTTGCAGGATAAAGTTCTCTTCCCACACAAAAGAAAACGGAGCACCCACCTTACAAATTGCATTAATAAAATGAGACAAGGCTGTTGAAACAGAAGAGGACTTGGAGTATGCAAAAAAAAAAAAAAGGAAAAAGCTACACCCAAACACATGGCATGGATAATCAAAGCAGAAGTTCTTCCTGAGACTAAAATATAATAACTAATCATCATCGCTAACATGAACTGAAGCACATCTATGCCTATTGCCAAAGGTGCAGAAACATGGGGATACGTCGACATCCTGAAATCAGGGCATTCAGTGAAGGAAACACACCATTGCCCCCTCCATCTTGCTTCCAAGCACAACCCCTCAGTTGTGTAGCCAACTGTTTTCCTCATTATGGCAAACTGGTTTAACTGGACATCAAGTCCTGAACTGCAGCTTTGGACTGCACAACCTTCAACTGCTTGGTCACCTCTAAAATTCTGCCAAGCTGGAGAGGCATGGAAGGAAGGAAGGAAGGAAGGAAGGAAGGAAGGAAGGAAGGAAGGAAGGAAGGAAAGAAGGAAGGAAGGAAGGAAGGAGGGAGAAAGGGAGGGAGAGTGGAAGGAAGGGAAGAAGGAGGGAGGGAGAGTGGAAGGAAGGAAGGGAGAGAGGGAAGAAGGAAGGAAGGAAGGAAGGCAGAGAGGGAAGAAGGAAGGAAGGAAGGAAGGAAGGAAGGAGGGAGGGAGAGTGGAAGGAAGGGAAGAAGGAGGGAGGGAGAGTGGAAGGAAGGAAGGAAGGAAGGAAGGAAGGCAGAGAGGGAAGAAGGAAGGAAGGAAGAAAGGAAGGGAAGAAGGAAGGAAGGCAGAGAGGGAAGA